TCTCTGTTGGTAATTGGGGAGCGGCAGGGGGAGAGACTTCTCCATCAAGCAGTTCAGAACAGAAATTCAATTAAGATACTCCGAATCAGCCCTCAAAGGAGACAGTGTCCTCCCTTTGACTACAGGCTTGGCTAAGATGACTAAAGTTGGATGGATGCCCTTCTTTTTTTCTTTTCTTGTCCATTCTTACTGTGACTTTACTTAGAAGTACAGGAATACTTTCTCGTTGTCACAATTTCGATGTATGATGTATATATATTTTTAATACATAATAGGATTATTTTCCTGATAAGAATGCTTTACAAGCTGAATCATTATGCTTCAGTGTTTGGTACTGAAGCGTAATTGAATATATATATATACACACACAATATGAGATATTTATATATTAAATTAAAAAAAGTTATTGTCATTGTAATTAAAGATGAACCCTACAAAATAGATAGATTAAGCATGCAATCAGATCCTGTCTTTAAGAAAGTCTGAAAAGTAGTTTTCTCTATTTGCAGAAATAGTGATTAGTAATAGTGCCAAATCTAAATATTTATCTTGGTCAATATAAAGGTATTAAAATAGGCAGCCTAGTATAATATGAAATTATTAGACAGTTTTTTCCTGTTTCAGTGTCATGGAGTCCACTGATTTTTAGATCATAGGATTTCATATGCTTTTTAAGGAAGAGGGAATATTTTAATAAGAAATAGGCTGGTGATGGTGATCAACAAGAAATTACTTCGGAGTGGGTTGTTTAAAATATAAGGAACCTTCTTTTTATGTTTAATTGTTCATGACTAAAAAATTTATGAGCAAATCCAATTTTGTACTGCTAGAATTCATTGCAGAGTAGGTAAGCATGCTAGATAAAAGTAGTAAGAATAAAGTAAGAAAAGAGAACACACATGAGTTAGAAGAACCAGCTTAATCTCTATTATATCTGATATAAATCTTTTTTGGGGCTGCGTAGGAGCACATCTCTAGGGTTGTAAGTTATAAAAAGAAACTGTCTATAAAGCTACTGTAAGCTCATATGTAACAGTTTGTTATATAAAAGTGGAGAAATAAGTTATAGACAAATTGCCAAGCAATAAATTCAATTGAATAACATTTGATTAAAAACATTCACAACAAAAATGGCATCCACATATTTTACAGATGATAGAAGAACTAAAATTTTGGTGAAAGATCTGCAATAAAGTAATAAATATAACTAAATGTACACCAGAAACATTATATTACACTCTGAAAAATAATTTCTCTGTTCTTCCTCTAGACTATGTAATAAAGTTTTTTGCAATGATGTGCTTTATTTTCATGGATGGAATAGAATTAAAGTCAAAAGCATTTGGGAAATAGCTTTCAGCCTGATGTGTTAAAGCAGAGGTCAAATGTAACCACGAACCAAAATAAATCTTGAAGAGGCTTTAGTAACTAACACAGGGGGTGGTTTACACTAACCTTTTTACTTTGGACAGACACTGATTAAAAGCAACCAGACCACTCACTGCATTCCAGCTAAGGGAATGATAACAGGCCACATTAAAACCTCTGCAGGTGTCACAGAATGTGAATATGACTTTACAAACCAACGGAGCTTAAAAATTGTAATTACTAACAAATTCATAAAAGACAGTAAGTATTAAGAGGCACGGTATTAGACCTGGGCAGGAACTCCATGTATAGGATGAGTAACCAGACATGCAGGGAGAAATGAAAAAAGGTCTCTAATTTTATTCAGGGTTTGATGAGTGGAATTTCATTTCCTTATCCTCCATTTATAATAGGTTAAGAGTTTAGAGTTTTCTATGAAAACAGGTACTCCACTCAAACTCATTATAGCTTTAAAACCAGTCTTCATTAATTACGGCCAAATCCTACAGAGAAACTATCAATTTAATTTTACATCTTGAGAAGCAAAAATTGTGGAACTCTTCTCAAATTCTGAACTCGTGATGCCAGACACAGAATATGAATTCATGAGTATTCTAGAAGAAAAAAAATTCTTCTAGGCAGTAATTTATGGATTGATTTTAAAATACTTTCGGCTCTTTAACTCCTATTGATGCTGCCTTGGTGCACAAACCTGTTTCTTATTCATCCCCACTGTCCTGTCCCTTAACTCTCACTTCCTTCCAGTCCCTCCTCGAGAATTCTTTCTTCCATGATGTCTGTGTGACACTAAACGACTGATAAAGGACTGACTCAGGCTGCTGAACAGCACTCGTGCATTCATTTGAAAAGACATACAAAGATAAGGTTAACAACTAACATATATACACATAAATGTTAAAAAGCATCCCAATTCCTTCCATACACTGAAATTATTTAGAAAAATATAGAGCGAGAGCTGACAAAACCTGTGTATCTCTTAACTATCTCATCTTCCTCCCTTTCCTTTTGTCTGACTGGTTTTATTATCTTTGTAGCTCATTTGAATAGGAATTTTACAGGTTGTTTTGTACCACACATACATAAGACGACTCTGGAGCTCACTGGGACCTCTACCATTCCTCATATTCAAAGCTCGTGAAACCAGATACAGAAAGATGAACTCACTAGTATTCTAATGCAAACAGTAATATTAAACTTTCTATTGGCAAAACTTTGCAAAGACATTTCATCACAATAACCTTTGATATGTCCTCCAGTTGGAGTATTTTTAAAGCTTCTTATTGAAATAATTCTGTTAAAGTGCTTTTCAAAGTAGTGCTCAGCAGGCAGATGGTATTGTGCAGTATGTGTAGTACAAGCTCACATTACAAATGATTTTTCACTTAACTGAAGGAAAGTATCTTAGCAAGGCTAGTAAAAACCTACTGAGTGAGTCCGACTAAGAAATGCATGTGTTAGTATGTTGTCTGTACATAATTAGCAGCACTATACAAAACATGATCTCTCATTAGTTGGATTGGGACATGCCTTTTTCTGTGATAAGATATTTATATTCCATAAATCAATATATAGGCCATACTTAAATACTAGGGCTTGGACTATGCTCTTTATTTTCTCATTTATTTGTCTATACATGGCTACCTACTCCATGGTTTTCTTATACTACTCAGTGCTTTGAAATTCTGCCAAACATTCCTTAAAAAAACTTTAAGAAAGGTGGAAAATAAACACTCTCTGGAGCAAATGTAAAAAAAAAAAAAAGAACAAAAAGAATTCAAGGTATTGAAGTGGAATCCATAGATCACTTCTTGGAGGACATAGCTGTCATGTAACAGTTGTAGGGAGCAACAGCATTTACTGAAGCTGGTAAAATAGCTAAAGCGAGGCCATATAGAGCAAGACAATATAATGTCCCTTCCCATTTACATGTAATCTGGTATGATTCAAACAACAAAGTCTTTCAATATCGTTTTCAACAGATACCCTGAAAATCCTCTCGTATCAAAAGCCACTGTTTATATACTCTTATATATCCATTTAATAATATAACATCTACTTACCTATGCTTCCTTTGTCTACAAAGTCATTTAGTGATGTTTAGAAAAATGCTGAGAATTTTATTTCTAGAAAAATAACCTTTTCCTGTGTTCCCCACAGCTCATGCTTTAAGCCAAATACTACCCTTGAATAACCACAACAGTCAGCAGCACTAGGAGGAATGGCCAGATATCTGACAGCAGAATTTCATACTCTTACGTTGTAAAAAATGCATATAAAGCATCAGGGAGAGGGGCGGAAGAGGGAGAGGGAGGACAGAATATGTTTAAGGGAGTTAAACTGAATTGCTTGGATGCTGGAGCAGGAGATTGGAGAAAACATGCACCTGCCATATATCTTATTCATTTCACTAAAATGATATTCAAAATCAGGCAATGCTGATATTCCCAGAATTAAAATAATAAATAAAAAGAACTTCCAGCTAAATTAATTATTACCCCACTACAGTCTTTATATAATGTGCTATTTACAGTGAAATACAAAAAGTATTTCATTCATACAATTACTACAAAGACTATGTGTGATGCAGAACAGCTTTTACACTAGGCAAGGTATGGAACCTGTAGTCAAAAATAATAGTGAATTTCCCCCCACTTACCAGTGCAACAGGTGTTCAATGCAAAACAAACTGTGTTCACTCCCTTTGATTTCAGTGCATTTTCTCTAGCAAGCTCGTAACAAGAGTATTTTGTCACAGTCATTTTTCTAAGCTCTCACCAGCAGCACAACAGTTTAGGTGAAGGAAAAGCAGTGAGCTGGCTGCAAAGTGGGAATGCAGAGGAATTGGCAAGTGTAGAAAAAGTGGAGAAGCTACAAAAATTTATTTTCCAACAAAATAACTCTCCACAAGCTGTGTAAACTTTTCTTACTAAAACAAATACTCTAAAACACAAAGATTTTACATTTCCAGTGAAACACTCACAGTAACATTTGCCTGTTTTTACTCTCCTGAAGTCTCAACAGAGCGCCAGCAGATTTATGCTTTCTCAATTACCTGGGTCAGTAAACTCCCTCGTATTCCCTGACTGCAATTTGGATTTTTAAATTAATAGACAGAGTGAAGAGACAGACTTGTTTGGCTTTTGAGTAACCTTTGTTTTCTTCAGTAGATTCTCCCACTTTGCTGCCTAACGTGCACCTGCACAGGTACGCCCATCCACCACCCACCCACTCACATACACACCTCTCTCTAATGTGTGCTCTATTATTCTGACAATAGAACAAAAATTAAGCTGTGTCCATTGCAACTTTGTGACCTGTACAGAGAAGAATAATTTATAGTGGTAAGTTCGTTATCTTTACCATAAATTTAAAATGCAAAATTGGGTTTGCAAGGACAGCATAAGGTAAAAGAGTTAGACCCTTTATCTCAAGCACTCATTCGTATTTACAGTAAGTATAAGCTTTCTGCTACAGAAGAAAAAGTATTTAGATTGAACACTGTTACAGATTTCCTAAATGAGGCTAGTTCCAGTTGCCAGTAATTCAAAAGCAAATCTGCTGACTTGGCATTAGGACTCTAAAACAGTGTGATCAAACTCATATAGTAAGAAGGTGTCTGCAGAAATAACATTTATAAACTGTATATACAGTACACAGTACCAGTACATAGAAAATAGATTTGGACTTTATGATCCCCTGTGTGTAAGGCAAGACTGAATTCTGTCTTCAAATGGAGTCCACCAGAGGTACAAGCAACAGAGAGTGGCTCTTAAATCAATATGCAAATCAAGTGCATACAAATCAAAAATCAGAGCAGACAAAAAGTTTTAGATTTTTTATGTGCTGATTCTGGCTTGCTGAATACACGGGAAGTTATTAAACATCAAATGTACCTTTTTTTAAAAAACACTAACAACACCTTGATGGCAACAGATATTGTTCAAGTGGCAGCTACGAAAAATGCTTGAAAAATGGCATAGTACAACATCAGGAACTCTGCAGTTGTACTTCGCTAATTCATATAGCACTAACCAAAAAAATAAGTATATGAATATTCTATTTCATGCTATTGCTATGCAAGCAACAGCAATACAAATCAGCATACAGAAGGATACCATATGTTCTGCAATGAAGAACCCAAAGATATTTTCAAAGGGCATTGTTACAAGACTTCAAAGAAACACAAGACTGCCGGAGGCAAAAGTTACTGACGGATGTAAACATCCCTGTTCCATTCTGCGTCATTACGTTTTTTCGATATCACTTCCCCATCCTTGTCACAATATTGGTCCCTTGATTTATGACGACTACGCTGTTTGTTGCATTCATTGTGGTCCTGCTCGCGGTCCCTCTCCTTTGAGCGATGCCTTGATTCTCTATGTCTGTGATCACTGCTCCCATGGGACTCGTCTCTATGATTGTGATCCCTGTGAGAATCATAGTGGTCACTGTGCTCATGTGAGTAGTCCTCCTTTGGCTCTACGTAAGCCGAATCTCTGCTGTCTTGTGTTTCTGAGTCAAAAGTTTCTTGCCTAGAAAGGCCTCTAACACCACTGCGATGGTTGTGGTGTTGGCTTGAGGAAGAGCGATGCTGGGATTTCTTGATGGGTTCAACCCGTGCTTCCTCTTCAATTTGTGAACCGCTGCGTTCAGGGACTGAATGGTCATTCCTCTGGTCTCCTTGAGATCCCTGCTATCACAAGCAGCAGTAAGTTCACGTACATGAAGTACACATTTAAAAACTTTCCCCAATATCAAATTAAACTAGAAAGTATCACGAAACCAATAAAATTTAAGTACACAGCAACCCACTTTGAATCTAAACTAGAAAAAAACATTATAATTCAACTTTTACTGAAAGTTCAGTATTATAATACAAACAATTCCTTTCGTCAGAATGGAGGGTGGCACTTGGGTTATTCTGTGACACTTTCTCGTCTCCTGTGATGTTTCTGGCTATTCCAGTTAGCAATAATTGCCTACCACACTCCGGACAAAAAGAGAGCATGCAGAAGCAGGACAAACTGCAAAAAAATTAAAGAGGACATACCATGCCAGGAGAGGGCAGGTATCATTTGAGAGTTTACAGATGCCTGCTTGGAAACAGCCACTAAGGGAAAATGATTTTAGAGGGCTGAGGAGGTGGATTCCAGCAGAGAACCAAAGTACAAAACCCTGGCTCTTTTAGAGCAGCTTTTTTGTTAAAAGAAAAAAATGCAATTGAATCATCTGGAATGAATGAAGTTTGTATTATGATACTAATAGTATCTCTGACCTGTTTTTCTCAGCAATAATTCCATTTCTTCATGGTAATGAAAAATTAAACTTTGACCTCATAATTTTAAGAGCTCAAGAATACAGACCGTTGCCAAGAAAAGCAGGAGGAGAGCGATATTATCACCTATAGAATTTCCTAACACACCACTACTATTAAAAGACTGAAGTAAAAATTACCAGGTAATAACAAACCTACTCTTCACCAGCATAATGCTTTGAAATCACTGCAAAACGAACAAGTGGCATTATTTAACTCATTTGGGGGTTTCATTACATTAACTGCTTTTATTCTCAAACCACAGCCAAAGACTTTTCAAGCTTAATTGTAAAATTTTAAGAAATAGTTTACGGTGAAACTGAATTATCCAATTATCCTTCTCACACAAGGTGAAGAACGTCAAGAAAAAATCATCTCTACTGGCACAAAATTAAAGTAGGTTTTAACAGAGTTATACAGGCATTTGTTTGTGAGACTGTTCTGAATTTACCAAAGTTAGTCTAAAGTTTGCCCTCCTATGTTCAGAGTTGTCTAAAAATAAGGATTGCCTCCAGGGCAGCTCACGGATGTATCTTCTTTCCGTCTTTCTATTTTGTGGAAAAGAGCTAAGGGAAGGAGGAAATCTTGTCCTTCAGCCACAGATCCTGGCAGGTGGGTTTCCTAGCAACCCAAAAACCAAAATGACAGGAAATTGGACAGGAACAAATCTGTATTTTATCAGAAATTCATAAAAAGCAACATATTTCAAATCAGCAATTTGAGGAATTTGACAAATCTCCATTTTCTAAGACAACATTTTTTTCTCTAAACTTCCCAGCGACTATCTGGGTTGCTCCATGTGTTCCTAATTTGAAACAAATGGTATAGACGAGAACAAGGTTACAGAAACAGCGGTCGAGTTTCTTTTTTGTTCTTGTTTTTATGATTCTCGAGATGATTCTGATTTGCCAGAAAAGGAATGGAGTAATTGTAAACATGAATAGATGTGTTCAAGGTGAACAGAAATGACTCAACAGAGGTGAATTATAAATGAAATCAAGTGAAAAGCTAAAGAGTCTAAAGCAATGCCTGCTTTGGATGTGTAAACACATTTTTATTAGTTCACAACCATGACTGTTTTTAAGGCACATAAACTGGGTACACACGTGAAACCCTTTAATTCTCATATGGTCAAACGCCAAATATGTACGTACCTATATATATAAACGTGACTAATAAAATCTGTCATTGCTATGGTTTGAGAAAAAATGCAAAATTTGAACCTGCTTTGAACAGAATGCTACTTTCACAAACTCAGATGCATCTCCTCTGCTATGATGAGTACGTGTGGAGGAGCACAATGAATAAATTTAGAACCAATACCTGCAATTTCAGAATAGTGTTAGGGCTATTGGGATTTATGGGCAAATTCATTGACAGTAACTTTCCCTAAATATTACAGAGGCACTGAGCAGGTAATGTTTGAACCTGGATTAGGGTCTGGCTTTGTGGTTCATAACCAAATTAGGGCTCTGATTTGGATTAGATTCCACAGTGCAGGAATTTTATGGCCCAATCTCATAAGGTTTTTTGCCTAAAATGGAAAAAGTTTGAGATAAGCCCATTTCATTATTCAGGGTGTAATTTAAAAGAAGTAAGGGTTCTTAGAAAGAAGTTTAAGCAGTGTTGAAAGAGGAGAGAGAAGTCTGAGTCCACCGAGTCAATTTGGCTTGCTGCCTATTTCCATCCTGTGGTCCCTAATCACCTGCAACCATATGTGTGTGAGGTTGCTCCAGTCTTCTTTTTGGAATTAGCCAACTATGTCCCTACAAGAGGAAACCTGAGAACAGTTGTCAGGACAGTTTGCTCCAAAGCTCTCCATCAGATAGACAGGAGGTGTATGGTCTTCACCGACTTCATTTCAAACAGTCTCAGGAGGCCTCACACCTTCAAGCACTTCGTGCCATGCAATGCACACAGTCAGCATCATGCTATAAAAATACTGCTCTGGCAGCTGGCAACACAAATCTCTCATTATAACGTACACCCGGGACTGAAAAACCACAGAAAACAATTATGTCTCATGGCAAAGGGATGCTGCATTGGACCCAGGGGAGAATGACTCAAATGCTTTGCAGTGCTGATGTGGCCCCTCCAGGCCAAATGGCTGGTGGCATGGTTTTTCTCTGCACAGCAGTCCACAAAAATGGCACAGACATAGACTTTAAATTCTCCAAATAGAGGTCTTATCACTATTGAGAGAATGGGTTCAGCCACCGTGATTAGAAAATGAACCCACTCTATTCCAAGACTGTGACAGGCTCAGGTTTGAGATGTCAGCTGAAAATGTATCATAGGAAAATGAAACAAAAGGAATGTAAAAATTCTGTGTTCCATAAGGGACCCCCGTTGCTTTGCACTTTTGGATTAGTAGACCTACAAACTGTGAAACTTCAAACACATTCTCATTTTTAGTCCTTAAAATAAAAATCTGTTAATTTGTAAGGACATAGCACAACATTCAGAAAAGTGTTATTAAAACTCTGTGTAGTACCTCCAGAGAACGTGGTTAATAAAATGAGTAAGTAAGTGAACTATAAATCCACACCCAAAAGGCATAAAAAAAACTTGAGCAAAATAATAGACACGTCTACAAAGCAAAGAAAGTTTATCTAGCAAGTCTGCACACAACAATACTGAATTTCATACTCAGAAATTCTTCCAGCTCACAGTTTTTTCAGGGTGTTTCAGCTCTGAGGACAGAAAAAAAGGCAGAAATGAGCTATAGCTTACAGTCTCTTTTCCTGCAACTGCTTTTGAAAGCAAGAGAAGGAGATACCCTGCAAGGTGGCTGAATTTTTCTTCTTAAAGAACAAACTTGTCAAGTCTGTGGTCTTCTAATGGGAAATAAATTCTTTGACACAAAAAATTGTTTTGCAAGATGATAAAAACAAAAAGCTAATTTTCGGCATTTTAATTTGGGTGCAGATATATTTTTTTCTTTGATTTTCTAAAAGGAGGCATTTTTCTTACCAAACTTATGAATTTTAACTGACACAGGTATGTAACTTATGGGCATATATGGAACTTAGGTGGAAATTTAGATGTAGTAAGCCATTATTTGAGCTGGGACAGATGTACTTTAACCCCCACTGTGATCTTCTCGCCCTCAAAGTGTCACTCACTATTTATAATGAAGTAGCATCTTTAAAGACCTCATTTCGTGCCATGCAACACATATGCAAAGGAGAGGATCTCCTTATGCTGAAAACCTTAATACAATTATACAAAGCAAAAGCTGAAGAAGAGAGAGGGCAAAATATGCCCAAAGTCACCAGGCAGGTCAGTGCGGAGGTGGGAATAAAGCCTGTTTTTCCCAGCTCACTGGACAGTACCCTCGCTGTTCAGAACATACTGCCTCTCAAGGTCTTTCTGCACAATGTGAAGTGGGGCTCGGGTTTTATGTAAGAATTTGGCTTGAAGAAAGTATGTACTTTTCACAGCAATGGCCAATGAATAAAAAAACAAAGGAAACACTGGAAGGGCCACTTTGACCTTGAGACTTCACTAATACAGTCAGTCATTTTCAACGTCTACGACTCTATAGCCTGTGGGTAGATAGGAACAGATTCCCTCCAAGATTTGTGGATCTGCACTGTACATAACGCAATTTGCTATGCAGAGCCTCTGGGGCTGGGATTTGCCTATTAGCGACAGTCTGCCCATCAGTCAGAGAGTTACCAGAGGCTGTAACGTGCATAGTATTAGCCCAGTTTTATTCCTCTGATTGGATTACATATGGCCAGCTATAAAAATGCTTGTGGCTGGTACACATATTACTGGCACAGTGGTGTCCTGGGCACAATGAAATCTTAAGTATTCCACTTCACATCACCATATGTTTTCAGTCAGGCTGGCTTAGTCCTTGGAATCAAAACCAGCCCCCTAGTCAATATGCAAACACATGCTACTGTGAATACAATAGCAATAACAATAATGTGCTTGTATTTGCCTTTTATACTGAAAATGGGTGAATGTCTACTGAAAAAGCTCTTACTCTATCAACAACAGTAAGACATATTCAGCATATTCTAGTATCAGACTACCACTGTGCTTTGGAAGAGGAAGAAAGAAGAAAAAACCAGAAGAGATGGCATAAAAACTGTACCTGTAAATTAATATTTGAACCTGGGCTAATAGGAAGAGTGGCTGTTGCAAGTGTGCGAGTGAGAAGCTGGTTAGGAGGATTGCTGCTAGGTGGATGTGTGGCCTTCCAGTAGGCTTCCAGGTAGTCAGCAAGGTGCTCACAAGCATCTTCAAGCTGGTTCTCATCAAGAATTACATCGAACATCTCCTGATAAAGGAAGGGTTTTAGTGAGAATAACCACCAGCTAAAGGGAGATCAGCTAGAGAAACAGATGACCTCACTTCCCATTCATGAAAAATGAACCACATTTCTAATACTTGCATTAAGATACTTCACCCTTTTTGGTTGTTTGTTTTTTTTTTTAATGCAATTGATACAAAAGACAGCAATCATAACTAGCACTAATGTTACACTTGCTAAAGCAAGCCCTCATGACTTCCACTTAGTAATGCATAGTCAATGAAGATAGGAAGAGGCAGCTTGAACAAATCTTAAAACTCAAATATCCACAAAGAAAGGTTAAATATTGAAGATTTTAGATATTGGAACAAAATGGAATAGCAAGAAAAGAGATTCACTCCCCATATCTAGAATAACTAAGAGAAAACTAAGACAAACTAAGACCAATAACTAAGAACAGTAAGAAACACAAATAATACAGATCATCCAGTTTCCAAGTGTCACACAAATATTAGGTAAGAGATTAGTCACACAGTCTAATTTTAGGCATCTAAAGTTAGGAGGTGAGTTTCCTCTGTTCCCTCCCTGGTCAGGGAGACAGAAGTCCCCCTGAAGGCAGCTTTGAGAGCCTACGCAGGTCTCTAGCATTCTTCACTGACTTCCTGGGGACCTGAGGAGACTAATCTCTTAACTGAGACGCTTGAACTTAAATGATGAAAACATCCCCCTCACTCAGCTCTGTAACTATAGCAAATTCCCACATCTGCAACTGAACCGAATCTTCATCTTCTGGTCTCTTACCCATACTCTTCACAGTTGAGTATGCAGTTAATAATGCTTGCCATGTTTAAAACACAGCTGGGGTCTCATCATTTCCACTTTATAGGTGGAAGTTGAAAGAATTTGCTTCAGTGCACATCAATAGAAGAACTGCAGAGCTCTCAGCTACGCAGTACCCCGCAGCTCTCTGCCAAAACTGTGACCAGAACACCAGCAGTGATGGGCTGTGGTGACATACGCCCAAGGGGAGCTACCCAAACCACCGGCCTTATCCTAAACTGCCAGAGATAAAGCACAGTCACTAAGAGGGTTCATTTTTAGACCAATAACCCCAAGAGAATTATCAAGTAAAACAAATGCTCAGCTTGTTCGAGCGGTGAATGTATTCAGCACACATCCTAATAACTGCCTGTGACTAGAACTGTTTCTCCCTGCACCCTTGTGCAGAGCCCAGAGACCTCAGGAGGCGTTCTGCAAAAAAGCAATAGTGAAATATGGCCAGAAGAGGGCAAACATTCCCAGAAATTACGTAATTAACCTCGGGCCTGAAAAGAAAGGCACCTTTCAAAGACGAGACATAAATTAACAGTAACTCACAGGAGGACACTGTGCCAGTTTATCAGCTGCCACCATCTGAACATTAAGGTGTTTGGCCTGAGATTTCCCTCGAGATTTTATTAACCTCTGTAAAACCTGTGAAAAATAAGACATTAATAAAAGTGAGCAGGTTCAGACTTAATGTACATATATAACCACTTAAAATGTTCACAGTTTTAACTGTCCACTTGAGCAGATCAAATTCTTCATTTGCTGGCTTCAGGAGCATTTCCCATGCTGTTTACATCCAGAACAAGCTAATTTTCATTTACTTCCCAACATCTCCTTTCCTGTTATGAGCACTAAAAAGTTCCGCCCCTATTTTCCTCTGCTCTTTCTGGTTCTGTTTGTTTCTAAGTTGAAATTCTTTAATTGCTCTCCTGAGTTCTCTTCCCATAAATCGTTCTTCTCTTTCAAATGTCTCTTCACAAGGTCTGTGCAAGTTTTTTCACAGAATGAAAGAGTACATTACCAGGAGATGTCAAAGTTTACCAATCAGTCTGATATTCATTATGTGAAAATTTTTCTTTCATTTCTGTATTATTTTGATTAAACAAACTGTTAACATTACTTACGCTATCCCAAAAGTGCAATACCAATTTAAAAAACCATTTGAGCTACATCTTTTCCAAAATGGGTTTTAGTAACCCCAGAGCTAAGATACTTTTTTGATTAATAATATTTCACCATCCAAAAGGAAGCAATAACAATATATAGCTCTGAACTTTTATGAGGACACGTGATTATCTGTGTTTAAGACCAAATAAAGCAAAAAAAAAAAAAAAAAAAAGACAAGACTGAAATAGCATGAGTATCAGTAAAATATTTACCTTAGGAGAAGAAATCTTTACATATACTATAATGGGAGCCAGAGAGGTTTTGCTTAGTTGAGCTGGGTGGTTAATGGTATCAGCATCAAGCACTACCAACTGCAGTGTCCTTGCTAATTCAAAAATCCGTTCAATTTCACTTTGAACTTCAGCTGCAGATAAGTAGAAAATTAGAGTTATGAAAATATTAAAAGGCAATTAGTTTTAAGCAATGTAAAAATGTGGTAGACTGGTGTGTTGCTCATCCTCAGGATGGCAAGAGTTGTTAGCCATGCACGTCCCTGGCATGCTAGGGAAACGAATGCAACGTTAACGAGAGCATTTTGCCCCCGTTTTGTTGCCCTTGCAGGCAGCGCTGCCTGCCTCTCTCACCTCCACCGCTTCCTGCAATCCCAGCCTGGAGAGAGACTTTCTTACAAGACCTCATGTACGTAAGAAAAAAAGAGGTAAGAATGCTTGCCTCATGGTAATCTTACTATGCCATTAGTTTCCTACATGTAAATAACTTCAGCTCAGACTTTAATGTTACGTAGCAATCAAACTGGAGTGTCCGAGATAGGCATTAAGACGTACTGAGATGTCTATATTAGCAGAAGCTCCTGTTTTTCCATTTACTTCAACTTATCAAAGCTCTGGAAAACAGAGTTTCCTTCATATACTGGCCTCAGTATGGTACCATATCAAAAATTTGATTACTATGTGTAAAACACTTTTTAAAAAAAAAATTCAATAATCCAAATAATGCTATGGTATCGTCCTCACAACCCCAAGAGTTCTGGAAAGGTGATTTTCCCAGAAAAAATCATCTCGTCTTCTGGTAACTCATGCTCCGAGCTCCTCAGTACCCTGCCTGATTGGCAGTAGTTTCCAGGGCAAACCTCTCCAAGACAGATGGACTGAATCCGCTTTCACAAGTGATGTAGAAATTGTCTTCATTCCCAAATGAAACAAAACTAAATCTTATAATAGCAAAATCATCCTTGAAATGGAATCACATTTTCCTGCTCAACTCTTGCTATCGGCTGACTTCACAGAGAAATTACAGAAGTTGGGTGATTTGTGCAAGTCTGTAAAGAAAGTTATAAAGCAGACAAGATTGTAATTCATATGGGTTTCCCTTTAAAGGTTGTGCACACTCCATGAACCAAAACCAGATTAGATATCTAGCGCATTCAAAGAAAATATTGGAAGATAACCAACAGAAACTTAAATGTCAACAAGAGGTACCAAAAACTTATTTATTAGAGAGTTTCTTGAAATTACACTATCAGCATTTTATCTATTATGCTGGCACAAACATTAAGTTTGCTTGAAAACACAGCCTATCTGATCTGGCTAGAGAGAGTTTTCTATAGCGAATGGTCTCTTTCAAGAGGTGTGAAGAGATAGATTGATTTTTGTTATCTCTGAAGAGCAACTGAATAAATTAGGTACCATGATAAGGTTGCAAAATTTCCAAGAGAGAGCAAAGTACCCCAGCTAGTCTCCATTTAGTTCAAAGTCTTTTAGTTCCAAATCAATAGATGACTACTAAGATCATTTCATAAATGAAGTAACATCTTAAATGGCCATCAGAAAATCTATATATGATGCTTTCTATTGGAGGAGGTTGACATTGTTTTGGATCTGTTAGAGATCACCTCCATCTGTTTGTAGTTATCTCCGATTTTGGCTGAGTACATGCCAATCAGTCTTTTACAGCAGAGAACATTGCGAGATGTGCACGGCGTGCTGGTATGGAAAGTATCAGTGCATGCTTTCCTGCTTGTCGATAAAAGCACTGTGGCCCAGCTGCTGTCTGAATTAGGACCACATTTTTGAAGACAGAACTTCTGATGGTTCTTGGCACATTCACGATTACATTTTCTGCAACTTTGTTACGTAGAGATATTGTTGGAATGACTGCATACCATTGTCTCAGTGATTTAGTAGAAGATAGTCAATAGTCTATCCCTAATTTAAGTCCAAATGACAACTAGAATAAACATATCAGAGATAATTTGTCATACACTGTTCTGATGATGAGTTTGAATTGCTTTTCTGCAATTTCAAACCAGGCTCAACACTTCAGACAGTATAATATCAGTTAATGTATCATTTTAAGACCACTCCAGACTGCTAAAAAACCTTGTTCAAGACAATTTATAACCAGCAAAATCTGTCTTTTTGCCAGTGTATCATAATTTTGTCTGGGGAAGCAGCACTTGCTACACTGCTGGAAGCACTTTTCTGCCAGTATAGAATACACCTCTGTGAACTAGATTTCCTGCTATACTTTTTGAAACAACTCTTTGCCAGGACAGAGTATGCCTCAGGATATCTTCTATTGTGAAACATACCCAGGGCAATAATTGCAGGTAACTATGGTCCTATGAACCAATAGTTTCCACCTGAGTCCAAGGATGGAGAGATATCTTTTCCATCAATTAAAAAGTATTTCAGTATTTATTCTTCTTAACTTGGCCATAGGAGAAAAGTCCAAGGAACTACACTGCATGGTTGATGAACTAATATGTTGTGCCTCTACCTCTCCAGTCAAGAATGGATGGAAAAAATGCCACAGAGATTGCCGAAGAGGTCCTGATCTCCTGTCCCTTAGAGTACTTCTTCAGCTTCTGGAAAAGCCTGCATTTTGCTTGAAATCTTTCTTGTATTCTAACTTTTTACTACACATAAGATTGTTGCAATTACTTAAATAATAGTAGCTTCTCTTATTAGATGACAAAAGCTTTATTTACTGCTGCAGCTTTGGTTTTCATCTTTCTTTAGCAACATCTTTCAAAAAACAAATTCTATACCTGTAAAGATTCTTTCCCAACAAGACACTCAACACAAATTTTCTTTCAGACTTTTGACCAAAGTAAGCAAAGGACCCTAAATGTCATGTGGGGATAGTAACACAAATGTCACTGGTAGTTAAAATAGGGAGCTGAGAACAATAACAGTGTGGTATCTTCAAAGCAGCACAGTAATAGCTTAGCAATCTTCCCACTTCCATGAATATCACCTATTTATAACAACATCCCTTCTGATATACTGGAGAGGCTTAACAGTGAGGCTACAACAGTTCACTCCAATAAATTCTATTTGCCAATTATAATGAGAGGCATAAACATAATCAAATCTACCGTGACAATTATCATGAAATGCTGGCAGCCCAGCTACAACACTCAAAACCAGAAATAAACCATAAAATTTTAAAATTACCCTCACAATCTATTTGATACAGCCTCCTTGGTAATCAGAAAAGGAACATATTTTAAATGACAGGAGCATTCAACTATTTATTCCATACAGTAGGGTGTCAACTCTAAGAACCAAGAAGTACACATCTCCCAGCCAACTTTAAATATTGCACATTTAAACTTACTCCCATATATTAATTCCAAATATCCCTACTGTAGTCTTAAATGAATAGAAATTCAGTGCAATGAGAGCACAAGTAAATGGTTTATCCCATTATGGGGCAGACAAATATTCTTTACACCAGCTGGACCTTACCAGTAAATTTCGGGCAAAAATCTTTAACGATTCATTACAATAATCTCACCTGAAGTAAAGGCAAAGACACAGCAACTCTGCATTGCACCTATGTCAATTCACTAATAACAAGATGAACTATGGTGGAATTTAGGGTCACTTGTACAATGCCATGGTAAAAGAACATTCTCTACACAGCTGGAGAAACACAACCTTCCTTCAAACCTGAGCAGAAAGCATCCATAGCAGCCAGGAGTCACGGGGACACCCAACTTGACACAGCAGTGGCTACTATGTTTTAGGAAGACCCTGATGAGATGGCAGTTTCGTGATGGAGATGCGATGCAAAATGGCCATGCTTCTGGCCTGCAAAGGCCAAATTAGAAACCACAAAATATTGCTTATACTATCTGCAGCAGGAACAGTGAAGTTCACATACTGTCAACTGAATACAGTATGACTTTAATATCCTATTCAATTTGACCTTGTCTACTTCTCTTTGGTATCAGTGGCACTGTTTTCTTCACAGAAACAGATTTGTAAATTATTACTTGGACTGCAACAGCCACAGAGGCGAAGTGTTCTCTTTTTCTAAACAGAGCTCCTGGTATTACAGACGAATAGCATGAAAAGAACATACCTATGTCAATGCATGTCATATAAAAATGATTAGCAACACCTTGCACAAATGGCTTTCAAATAATTTTATAAATTAAGGAGAACAGACATCAGTAGCCATGATTTTTCTTATGCTAATTCTTTTATATAAGCATATTTACTTCAAAAAAAATTCATCACTAAATTCCATAAACATAATTAAAGAAATAAGAAGTTTAAGGCAGCCTCGGGAATCCCAAAACAAAGGCAAAAGAAACAAACACGCTATATGTCCCCAGTGCCTTAAAAGCACATAGAAAGTATTGCACCAAAAAAACCAGCTGAGAAATGGATAAAGGTCGTATCTGAAATCCAAAAAAATGAAAAAAGAAAAACAAAAAGGAAGCGATGACTATCGACTTGTGCCCACACACCTGTTGATTAAGAAGTAAATCATAAGCTTGACTGACAGAATTTAAATTTTAAATTTTAATTTGTAAGCATGTATGTGTATACACATGCTTATATTGTGGGCAAAATCACCAAAGTGTCTACATTAGGTATTGCACTAACCAGAATGCAGGTACTTGGCCAAAGCAGGCTATCCCAGACTACATTAGATATATGTACAGCCTGTGCTCGCTGTATACGAAGTGGAGAGACCAAGACGCCACCGAGGGTGATCCAGAAAGCTACATGGTGTGTGAGCAGTCCGAAGCAAGCCAGTAAGAAACCCCACATGTACGTAAGTACTTGGCCTCTTTCCTCTCATCTTACCCTTTCCTCCCCTCAAGCACCAAGGTTGCTTTGGGCAGGCAGGGAGCTAACAGCGGGGTCATGCTAGACAGGGGATAGCTGCCTCCATCCCTTCCCCAGCCAAGGAGGTTCAGCCTTGTGGTCTCCAGGCAGGATTAGGTGTCCCACCCCACACTGGTGGCAATGCTGGGGAGCAGAAGCCTCTGTGCCTCCCCTCCAGCGTACCCAGCTAAGAAGGAAAAAGGCTTGGAGGGGAACATAAGCAAGTAAGAGGGAATAAATGCTCTAGCTTAGTCCTCAGGCAATGGGCCAGAAGATA